AACATAATATATAATATATGTATAACTATACATATATTTGTTATATACTTCCGTGTTTACGGTCTGATCTGTTAAAATTCCGTCATATCCGTACTCTACAAATCAGACCCTCCCCGCCCACTGACCTCTCACGTTTCCTTATCCATACCTACTTTAACAGAAGAATTAAACGTGCCAACGGCACCCTCACCAACCCAACAAGACGAACCCGCAGCGACAAGCGCACCCACGCCAGCAGTACCTCTGGGCGAGGTGCCCGTTGTGCCCTTGGGCAGCAATGATAGTACCGTCCCTCCACCAAGCAATGAGGTGGTAGGTACCAGTGGGGATGTAGACGCGAGTGTAGGTACGGCTGAGGTAGATAGCGCGGCCCAGTCGGGAGGGCAGGAGACGACGGAAACTAACGATAACGGAGGTGAAGAAGGAGTAGAAGAAGTCGAAGAAGAAGAGGAGGAGGCGGATGGCAAGTGCGAGTGTGGGTTGTTTAACGTTGTGCTGATGTATCTGGTACATTTCTTGTACTGTATTCGGTTACTGGAGAGAGAGAGAGAGAGAGAGTGTGTGTGTATGTGTGTATATGTGTAGGCTGTGTGTACACACGATGCAGGTGGTGCATGCAGGCTTTAATTATTGTCGATTAGGTTTGGTGCTTTGTGTATAGCGTAGACGCAATAGAGATAGCGTCAGTAGTCGATTGTTAAACAATGAACACGTACTTACTTACATAGATAGATAGATAGATAGATACATACATACATACATACATACATTCATACATACATACATACATACATACATACATACATACATACATGCATAAATACATGCATACATAAAATTCATTCATACATACATACATACATACATACATACATACATACATACATACATACATACATACATACATACATACATACATACATGCATACATACATACATACATACATACATACATATACTCCATTGCCTACAGATGGAGGCGAGGAATATGATGATTCTTCAGACGAAGACATTGAGATCACATTGTCAGCCCCTCCAAAGGAAGCGAGCGATGCCGCACAGACTACCGATAAAGCGAACGAAGCCCTGAATTTGACTATACAGAAAGATGGGGGGGAGCTGAAGGTCCGTACAGCGGTGACCGGCAGCTCGAGTACTAACGTAGCACCCAGGTATGTGGGCGTTAGTATGTGAGTGTAACAGTGATTGTACCTGCAACGAAGGTATGTGGGCGTTAGTATGCGAGTATAACAGTGATTGTACCTGCAACGAAGGTATGTGGGCGTTAGTATGTGAGTATAATAGTGATTGTACCTGCAATGACGCGTCTCGGTTGTTGAACGCGGAATCAGCTGCTATGCTTGGTGGTGTGCTTTTGGCGAGGCAAAAGAAGTGAAGGGTTGATTGTGTCGAATTGATTCAAAGGAATTAATTGCATAGAATTGATTGTATAGAATTACTTATTTAGAATTAAATATATAGAATTGATATTGTAGAATTAATTATATTGAATTAATTATCAAGACAATAGTACAAAATTTTTTATACGTAATTATTTGTATCAAATTAATTATGTAGAATTGATTACATAGAATTAATTATATAAAATTAATTATAGAGAGTTCAGAATTAATTTTTACAAAATTAATCACATAGGACTAACTATATATAACTAATTATACAGAATTCATTATATTGGATGAAATATATTGAATTAATCATATAGAAATAATAAAGTAGAATTGATTACATAGAATTAATTATAGTGACAATTAGATATCCACGGAGTGGACGACAAGCTCTGCTGTGCGATGAAATCGGGTACGATTGACTGCATAGACCTACACTTGTCCATTGCCATAGCCATACATCATGCCAATGCCATTGC